CGTATGAAAAATTTGAAAACAGGGATCTACACACAGTCCTACGTTACATTCCTTGCACTCGCAATAACTTATTTGCCGTTTTGGAAGATTTTTCCGGGAATGTGAACAAACGAAGCATCGTCGTCTCATTTTCTTATCAGTCTTTTCTGAACAAAGTTTTGGAAAATGTCCTTCAGTTAATCTGAGGGGATTTAATGATTCTGCTGATCTTGGTGTGATTGCAACGGTAAAAACAGAAAGAATTCCCGTCTAACAAATTTTCTATTAAAAAATATTTATTCGATCTGTTTCTATTAAAAACAGAAAGAATTCACTTCTAACAAGATCAAATTTAAACTGAAATACACAATGCTTTAGCAAAAATAAAACTTCTCTACTTACAATAAACAACGAATGTGAGGTGCGAATTTAAAGAGACGTCATAAATCATGCCATTCGGAAACATTTATTTCCCCTTTTGTTTATATAATCAAAAACACGTGTACGTGACTCGTGCTTCTCTCATTTCGAGTAGAAGGTCTAACGTACATGTATCTGAAACCATATGGACATACAGTGCCATCTTGTGGCAAAAATTATAGTTTTTAAAACGTTCCAGGGCACTGGCACAAATACGTGACAGTCGGGCTGAACGGGAAAACGCTCTGGCCTGCGTGTTGGCCGGGAAGTGAGTGTGTTCATTGCTGACGGGTACCGACTGCTTGACGTGACAGTCGGCGCGAAGGGGTTACAGAAAGTAAGAAAGCAAAATTTCTTAAGTTATAAGCTAATATGTATCAAGTGACAAAAGATCTAGCCGGTCATGTCACTCAGAGGGTTAATGAATGAAATATGTTTAGGAGGCAATGTTTCAAAATTATAATTGACAATGATTTTGTAATGCAAGATGACCAACAGATATGAAAAATCACAACAAGAGTGAATGCAATATATAGGAATTCGTGGTGTCCTACACGAACCCAATTAATCAGCCAGAATGGTATCTGTAACTATAGCAAAATTCCTGATTAAATTTGACTAAAAAAACATAAGAAAAGAAATGGAAGTTTTTGTTGTTCGTAGATAAAAATGGACACCATAATGTAGAAGTTAAAAATGAAGAAAAACTTTCTTTTGCTCAATGAATCTAGCCACTCCAGCTTTTAGATCAGCAAATCATTCCAGATTATGTATGACAGTTTTCTATTGTGCCATATTACTGCAACTACAACAAAATAATGAAATCCCTCACAGGCAGCTTGCTACGGCTGTTAGAATCTGTTAAAATGGGATCAGATACAAGCCTATTGGATAAAATCGTAAAGCCATAAAAATACTGTAATAACTGTCCACGCAATAAATATGCACATGAATGAAAGCGCACATAGATAAATTCCCTCAAGGATGAATATGCTACATAGCAGATGTTTCTGCAGTGGCCAAAGGCTTTGGTAATTTAAAGCTTGCTGGTGTTCATGTTTTAAGCAGAGGCTTGCTCATGGTCGAATCTGAAATGCTTCAGCATCCGTATGCTAATGCGGGACAACTTGTTGCCATATTTCTGACCCTGTGTGATGATGTGGTTGATTGTTGTGCTGGTGGGCTGTTCAAGTTGTTCATTGAGCCCACTGAACACTTGTAGCGTGAGGCATCACGGGTGGCACGAGTGATGTAGTTTGTCAGTTCCCCCCCCAAGTGGGCAGGTAGAGGAGCTGCGTGTTCCTGTTACATCCAAAAGGGCAAAACTGTTGTCATTCACTAGTTGCAATCAGAGTTCATAGCCACATTTTAGTTAAAAAAATAAGCACCTATAAGCACTTTTCAAGCACATTTTAAGGAAAAAATAAGCACCTGTCTAATTACATTATACACAACTGCATAACCTTTAAAGAAAAATTAGACTTGTAATTTAAAATATGAGCTGTGCAATATTTATTAAGAGAATGAGCATTACCTCAACAATGGAAAACAATTAACTTTTTTTTTTTTTAAAAATTTTAAATGACAGTTCAATTTACAGAATTAGTTTACAATGAGAGAAAAAAAACTATGCAATAATAAACGATATTACAAAATTTAATGATGATATTTCAGTTGAAAATATAGAAAATAAATAATAATAAGCCATTTTAATTGTATTCGTTTTGGCACCAAATAATAAGTACAATTTATTTTTCCACTCATATTAATATTTAAATAATTTAACTTAAATCAAAATTCTGAACATTTTCTAAATTTTCATTGCATAACAGTTTTCCCTTAACATATATCCCAAGCAAAGTAATTTAAGTAATAAAGAGGCACATTTCTGAAATCAGAAGACAGGAAATTGCTTCATTCAGTCATCCTTTAACAGTAAAAGCTTAACTAACCCGCATACTCGAAATTCCCGAATATTCCGGATAGTAACTGGAAAAAGAGGAGTGGGGGAGATTGTAGCTGTTCTTTAGATTTAAATTTAAGCTAAGTAAATTATTTTGACATTTCGATATGTGCATCATATAAAAACCAACGGAACTGAGAAATATTCGGCTTAGAAAGCACAGTAAAACTCTTTTAAGTGTGCATAAACAAATCTCAGACTGAACATCAAAATTAATTATCAATGCAAAATACCGCAAACGTTATTGCGCAATACATGCGGTGCAATTCTTCCATATGGGATATTACGCAATCGGAATCAACACCTGCCGGTATTCGAAGAAAAAAGAACTAAATAAAGGAAAAGAAAGAGACTTACTAATCTGGGGTGTTTCTGATTCTAATTTTCAACAGACTGTATTTAATTTCCGGAATAGAATCAACCTTCGCTTGGGTTGGGTAGACCGCAAAAACTTTTAGTCCTATTCAATCCAGATTGGACAGTGACCAAAAAAGGTCCGCTGCTTCAATATCAAAGATTTTGCGGAGAAACTCCCAACCTCCGTACTGTATAATGTATTGGCAAAGAAAATGAAATTATTTTGACTATTCGATTACTTTCCTTTTATTTAAGCCATTCCGAATATTATTCCTTAAAGCTAATCTGTGTAAAAACACACCCATTTTTGGAAGTTTATCTATACTTCAGCAGTTACTGCAACTATACTATTATAAATATTCATACATATACTCATAATATAAGCATAACGATCATAATAAACACGAATATGAACTGACCAAGCAGAACGAGAATGCAAATTATTAAAATCTTGATAGAAATTAGTATTTGGGTGGGAGGAATTCTCGCGCGCACCATAGGTTACGTAATGCAGAGAAAGGGGGGAAAAGCGATTTCCGGGAGTATGATTCACCATCTGACGTTGCATATAAGAAAGAAAAGTTGTTTATTTAGTTTCGGCTTTGGTACGGGGAAAAAATGCGCGTTCATTAAAAACAAAGGATTAAAAAAAAACACTAAAAGCAAGAAATAAGCACTAAAAACAAAAAAAATAAGGGCTTTAAAAAAAATTAAGCACCTATAAGGGCCTTTATATTTTATTTTCAAATATAAGGACTTATAAGCACTTGTAAGGACCGCTACGAACCCTGTGCAATTGTTTGATGCTTTCGGAGTTTTAAATGTAGCCTTGCTTGCGGTATTTAAAAAAGGGAAGAGGGTCTTTAAAAAATACAGACTGGTTGGTATTGAGCTGCCATCTAGTATAAGTAAACAAGGTTCAGAGTAATAGTAACCTATAAATCCTTTTTCTTTCAATTTTTTTGTGTGTGCAGAGGGAAATTTTCAGGTGGGGCACACTGTGCCGCAAAGGGTTATATGACAAAATGACTGCCAAATTTTCACTTCAGGTAATAAAAATTTGGTACTATTCCGTTTTGAGGACCATAAAAAATTGCAGCAAAAATATATGTGCAAAAACGCCAAATCTAGTGTATGCGCTGATTTCAAATTGCGTAAGTTTAGATAGCTCTATATTTCTAAAGACGGCATTGAAATACTAGTTTAACTTGCAAATCTTTTTTTTGATAACGCTATGGATTTAACAATTTAGGAATTGCCCAGTTACGAAAAGTCTGCAATAGAATTTTTTCAAAGAAAAGGTATCATTCATTATAGAAAATTATGTTTGAAGAACCAACAAGATGAGATTATACTTTAGCGATAACTTGGTAGCGAAATAGCAATGCAGGAATCCATTCAGTTATGTTTAGTCTTTTTTATACAAATTACAATGATCTGAAATAGTTATTTACTCTTATGCTTCCATTCAATTATATTTAACCTTTTTATATAAATTATAAAAATAAAGTATTATATGAAATTAACCTTTCATCTAAATTAAAACAATATTCTTAGATAGTTATTTACCAATATACTTCCTTTATTGTGTTAGGGTTGCCGCAATTATTTTTGGCTGCACTGGCATCAACAATAGCTTGGCGATTTTTTACGGTCATCAAAACGGAATAGTACCAAAAATTTATATATCGAAGAAGAAAATAAACTTATAAAATAAGAGATCTAATAAAAGATCAACAAAATAAGTAAAACTAGCAAAGAAAGTAACGGGTTAAATAATGAAGATGTGCTGAAATAAAATAATTTTTTTCAACCACTAGGGTCATTGATGGGCTTATATGAATAAGAAGTTCAAAATTCATCTCAAAGATACTGAGGAAGACAAGAAAAAAAGAAAATTAAAGAAAAAAGAAAGCTACAAAAAACAATTTCTAAAAGAAAATTTTAAATCATTTTTGTAAGAGTATGCACGTCTCTAATGATATTTTCCATTATTAAAGATAAAAGTTGTTTTTCATTTGATTTGTGCATTTCATATTTTATTAATTCATTTATATTTGGTTAATTACATGTAATTATTATCAAATGTGTTACTAATTGCAATTTAATGCTTTGCTTTTTAATGAAATCTCATAAAATAAACATTTCTTTACTTCTCTCAAAAACTAACTGAAAACTTAAGCACAGTTAAATACAATGGGAAATATATAAAATCTGTTTTAGGGCAACAAACAATTCTGTTTCAAAAAAAATTTTTTAACATCATCAAAAATATTTTTACCTGATCTCGGCTTGGGGCATAGGTTGCACATTCTTTACAATCTGCAACACTGAAGTCTTGACATTCTGCATGAACGCAATATTCACACACTATAATGAGGAAATTAAAATGATTTCACTCAAAATTACTATAAAAAATGCTGACGTCCTACAGCAAAACATATTACATTATACACAATAGAACCCAAATATTTAAAATAATCACTAACTCTAGGAGTATGGGAAGAAAATACTGCAGCCTGCTACAGTCAAGCCTTAATAATACTTTGCAACTATAACTAAAGAAAAGTAAGCAACTTCTAAATCAGAGTTAAAAAGATTTAAACTGATATACAGTTGAACCTCTAAATAACAAACTCCTACATTATGAGTATCTTTGCTTGGCAAATTATTTTATGTTACAAATTTCTTCAAAAGAATTATAGTAAAGATAAGTAAGTGAATTCTATTCTTTGATGAAGTCTTTTTGAAAATCTGGCTACATTACCCTATGACATTTCTACTTTTCTGACTTGGGTAGTTAAGTTTTTCGGTTCATAGCTGGAATTTATAATGCAATATGCTGCACAGTTTTGTGCCCCTTTTAAGGCCTAGCTTAAAATGGGCACAAAAAAGACATGAATTACATTCCACTATAAACACTAACTTTATGCCTAAGGGATGTTAACACCAAAAAAGTTTGAATTCTAACTAGTACTTAGCATAAAAAGCTGGCTAACATAAGGCCTTGCTAAAAAAAAAAAATGCACAAAGATCAGTTCCAAGATTCCTCGCAAGATAGCAACACACATTTGCTACTGCCCCTTTCCCTCAAAATATGCTAATATAGTTACAGCAATTTGTGATTACATTTGCATTGTTTATCCTTGTGGAACTCTGTATTTGTAAAATTAACTTCATCTGCAGAAATTATAACTAAACAAGCCTTCTCTAGTAAATCATACCTAATTTCCATACATTTATACAAGGCAAAGAGGTCATCACAATTTAAGGATCACATAAGACTTCACTTTTAAATTCAAATTGTTTACTATCCAAAAGAAGTTCTTTTTACTTCATTTTAAAATACCAGTTGATTCCCCTTCAGCCTCATGAATTAATTTATAAATTCTTCCCAAATTTGGAGCTGTTTGTGCTCTTTTGACAAATGAATTCTTTTCTTCTTCCAATTTTGTTCTTAAAAATTTAACAGCAAGAGTAGTGCTTGAAAAGGTTTTTGGAAAATGCATGCCTTAGCAAACGCAGCAGCTGTTAATGATGGCTTTTCAAAAGCATTAATAACATTACACTCTGTTTTAACACCTGTTACCTTTTTCTTAAACATAATTTTTAAATGTTTTCAATATTTAATACAGAGGGGGAAATTACTGAAATTAGAAAAAAATATTAAAAAGCTTAGAAACTGGCTCTCAAAAATGATTTCTAATTTAAATAAATATTTTTTAGCTGCATGTGTTTGCAACAAATATTTTTAAATAACGTTTCATTTTAAAACAAACAGCCAACACTAAAAAATTGCACTTTGAGAGAAAGAACTAAATTTAAATTAGAGAACTGAGCCCTGATCTCTTGCATCTTATTGAAAACTTTTGAATGATTACATTTTAGAAAAGAAATGGTTTTGCAAGAAAGGAAATTAATAACAAAATAATATTACAGCTCAAAATAATACAATATGCTAAGTTTACCTTTGAGGAATAGTACAGAAAATGATGTAAATACAATGATAAGTAAACAGCAATTGTGGAACTAAAAATGTGATGTAAAAAGCAATGATGAAAAAAATTACTGTAAGGTGGTACCTTAAATAGCTTCATTTTGTAAGATGCACATTTATAGCACATTAACACAGCAAGTGGACAGCAGTTAGAAAATTATTACAGGCAGGGCAATTTCCAGACAGACAAAAACCACCTGAGTTGATTTAATTTTAGCTTTCTGTCCCTTTTTTATCTGTCCTAGGCAAGATATGATTATAAAAACCAACTCAGTTTACATAAATGCCGAGTGCTTTTTATTTAACTGTTATATTTGCCATTATTTGGAGTACTTTCACAATTAGTGCTTTTTGAAACTATGTGCTCTTAGCAACAAATGAAAGGCTTCAAATCAACAAAATATACAATCTCATATTCATTTACAATGAATAATTAGAAACAAGCAAACTTTATGGTTACAAAAAATAAAAGAAAAACCTACAGCTGGAGTGCAGACACTTACTATTTTCAAATATCATGATTTCACAATTGAAGAAAAATGTAAGTAAGATATTATAGTTAAACTGCAGTCCATTATGTATATGTAGACTGTTAAATGTGGTTCGTGGTATGAAAATCAAGATTTCCTTCCCCCCTTTCTTAATATTATTATTTAAAACATGCAACACTATGCCGTTTTAAATACTTGTATCTTTATTTTTGAAATTGCAATGTTTATATATTTCAAACAATGTCAAAATATGTACAATATTCTAATCATCAAAATAAATAATACAGAAATAATTATATTTCTGTGATTTACTGTCTATGATGATGCTATTTTTATAAATGAACATCTAACAAGACAGCATAAAAGAGAAACTGGCAAGATTATTTCAAACAATGTAAATTCAATCAAAAAAAGGGGGCAGATGTACATGAAAAAGCAGCTCATAAGAAAAAGAAACTGATCAAGTCAGTTTTTAGATGTAATTCTCTGTACATCACTACTGCATGACAATGTTGGAAACATTAATAGTTAAACATATTTCTTCCTCAAATTGTTGAGACTACCTTCATGGCAATTACTCCAGTAAGAGAAAAAAAGGAGAAGAAAACAGTTATGGATTCAAGTGTTTTGGCAACAGAGAGAAACCAGACGAAAACAGTAGTAGCATTTTTTATTTAGAAATTTAACTTGAACCATATTTTTGGGAATTTCTGAGTCGGCTGTAATCAGATAATCTTGTTTAAATTATTATCATTTTAAACTAAAAATGTAAATAATATTCTGTCAATATAAAACTAAGAAAAGCTAAATCATGTCTGATGATTATTATTTCTATGTTATGTATGATTAAATAAAGATGGCATTAGTTTTTTTCCTAGCAGATATTCAGAATGTAATCCAGCATCAAGAAAATCATCAAAGGGGTAAGTCTTGAAATTTATTGAGCCCTTATATTAATAGATTTAATACTAACTGGAGTATATACTAGTTTTATCTCCAAGACATGAAATAAGTATGTGAAATGTTCATGCTCAAACTCTGGTAAGCTGACAGCTAATTTATAAATTAGTTCTGGATTCTAATTTCAGTTTCTCCACAAATGACTTTGCACATAACTAGTTTCTTTAATAAAGCTCATATGGGTTAACAACAAAGACAAAAAAGTTCTCTTTTCTTCGTTACTGCTTTATTCTTAACCTGAGCAAAGAAATGTATATTATTGTAGACAATTATTGCTCTTTCCCCCACTTAAATTAACTTCCATTACAATTAGTTTGATAATGAATATGAAAAGAAAACGCATGCTTGATTTTCTATCTAGATGATAAAATCAACTTTCCATAAGAATGTCAATTTTTTATCATAGGTTGTCATATTCTCCTGAATACAGAATGAAAGACTTTATTTATTTATCCTTAAAAATAACAACATGAATTCAAAAATGTGAAATTCTCGTTAATTTACTTCAAACATTATTTTCTATGTCTAAAATCTGTTTACTCTTCTAAATAAATAAATAAATAAATAAATATATATTAAATAAAAAACAAAAAAGGATTTAATATTTCTAAAAGTCTACATCACATTGATGAAGTTTTAATTTGAAAGTAATAAACTATTCTATAACAATTCTTAATTGTTTATTAATTCACTAATTAGTAAAAATTATTATGGTGATGTTTTTTCTAAATACTGTCACTTCTAGCCACAGGCTGTGCATATAATTGCAACATTTAAAATTATTCACTAATTTTACCTTACACACTAGGCAACATTGAAAATGCAACATTAAGAAGTAGTGACCCGAAAATTATGCAAATTTCAAGCTAGACTATGTGATTGAGTTATGCAAATGATGCGACATTCCCAGCTCTCTAGCGCATCTTGAGGAAAATACACTATCTGACATTGCAAGTGCAACACCAAGTTGGAGCAGCTAGAAAGTCATGAAACCAGGCAGAAAGACAAAGCACCGAAAAGTGATCTTCATTTCGTGATATACATAATACAGAGCAAGAACAGCATTGACTCAGTGTCCTAAAGAATGGCTCTCCATTCTCTGTCAACCATTTGCCACCACTCATCTTCTGAACGTGGCAATGGCAGGGTCTGCAAATTACATCCATTCACATCCCAAATGTATTCGATTGGTGAGAGATCAGGAAAGAATCTGTGTTGAAGCATGTTGGCACATGCAAGCAGTGTGTGGTTGGGCGTTATCTGCTAATAAAGGGCATTGGGCACTCCCTGAAGGAAGAGAGACCCACTGCCACATCATTCGCATATCAATGGATCATCAAAGTTTTCTGACTATGAACTAGAGATGAACTGGAATCATATGCAACTGCACCCCAAATCATGATGCTGTGTTGTCACATGGTTGAGCATTCCACAATTGTTGCCGGATTGGACCTGTCTCCAAATTGACGCCACATTTGTAAGTGGTGAATATTATTCGAGGAACAGAAGTATGATTCATCTGAGAACACAACCCTGTACCATTTAGCCGCTCAAGGAAATGTGGAAAGTTCAATGCATACCAGTGTAGTCATAGTGATTCCAGCACATGCAGATCGACGCATCTGTTGACAATCAGTGGCACACCCCCAAGGCACTTCTACGTCCAATTTGCAGCATATCCAAGACCCACTGGATGTACCCATATCAACCAGAACCATCTGTTGTCAACTGGTGGCTTCTGGCCTGCACTCGTGGCATCTGTTAAGACTGCCATCGACCCCACATTATAGACAACGTCTGCAATGGTGCTGGGCTCAAGCAATGTGGATGACAGACTGGCAGAGTCGTGTTCTCAAATGAGTCACATGTCTGTTTATCATATGATGATCAATGCATATGATTGTGGTGTCAATGTGGAGACA